ACCATTGCCACTGCTCTACATATTGCACTGAGGCATCTTGAGAAATCTGGGATTTATCTCAGAATGCTTTTTATAGACTATAGCACGGCCTTTAATACCATCTTACAAAGCATTCTCACTGAAAAGCTGACTAACCTAAATTTCCCTCCCCTCACTTGTGACTGGATCAAAGACTTCCTAACAGATCATCTACAAACAGTAAAGGCTGGGTCATTTACATCTTCCAACCTGAAACTCAGCAAAGGCTCCCCTCAGGGCTGTGTGCTCAGCCCCTACCTGTACTCACTGTATACACATAACTGCATATCCTCTGATCCATCTCATATCATAATAAAGTTTGCAGATGACAGAACGGTGCTGGGTCTTATAACTGGAGGGGATGGATCAGCATATAGGGAAGAAGTCCAGAAGGTATCCACATGGTGTTCAAAAAGCAATCTACTTCTAAATACTAGCAAGACAAAGGAGATGGTGCTGGATTTCCAGAAGCAAAGAGAGGAACCTGCACCTCTGTATATCAAGGGGAGCTGTGTGGAGAGGGTTTTCTCTTTTAAATTCTTGGGAGTACTCATTAGTCAAGACCTCACCTGATAAAACAACATGTCTCAGGTAGTTAGTAAGGCTCAACATAGACTTCATTTCCTTAAAATCCTATGAAAAAATCAGGTAGAACAGCTAATGACTTCTTTATATCGCTCCACGATAGAAAATGTCCTCACATGCTGTATAACAGTATGGTACTCTGGTTTAATAGTCATGGACAGGAAGACACTACAGAGAGTGATTAATTCAGCACAAGTAATCATTGGTTGCCTCCTAACACCACTGGATGATATCACCAGGTCTTGCTGTTTCAGCAGAGTAAAGAAGATACTTAGGGATGATTCACACCCTGGCTAGTGTCTCTTTTCACTTTTACCATCGAGCAGAAGACACAGAAGTATAGCCAGCCAGACAAATAGGTTTAAAAACAGCTTCTACCCATGGGCTGTCGGACTCCTAAACACAATATAGCACCAAAAAAAAATTAATATGACGAATTTCACTGGTGCCAGTGTAGTGTGTAAAATGTATATACCATGATATAAGATCATATACCAGAGTAATATACATGTTGCACAGAATGTGACATACATATTCAAAGTATGACTAGTTTTTCTCCCTAACTACTTGTATAAAGATTATTCTTTATATTATTCATGCTGTCTTATATTCTTGTATGGACTGCACTAGTAGAGGCCAATTTTGTGGTATACATGATGTACAATGACAATAAAGGTTTTGAAGTTTGAAAAGTATTTTCTATTATTTATTTTTAAATACCGTATAATATACAATGTACTGTATTTTTACTCACTTATCTCTTATATTTATTTTAGAAACCCTTTAGAACCAGAAAATAATTGTGAAAACTACTGCTCTGAAAATTAAGCATGGATGATTATGCTTGAGGTGAAAAGAATGTGTTTGAAGATTCTAGGATATAATAAACAGAATTCAAATTTCAGGTTCACTTAGTTAATGGCAAAATCATAGATAACATTTATTTTCCCCTACAAAAATGGAAAAAAAAACCTCTCTTCAATATCTTCCCCTCCTTCTTCAAATTTGAAAATCTTGCTAGAGTGCCAAATCCTTGCCTCTGCAGTCATGTTCTATGCTTGAAGCCAAAGAAAATGACAGCCTATTATAGCAAAACATTTAAATCTCCATCTGCAGTATTTTTGGAAAAACAGCTATTGTCTGTGGTACTTCTGTCAAACAGACAATATGGCACATTTAGTTATAGTTGTAATACAATAGAAATAGAAGCTGTTTTGTATTGGTCCAGATACAGTAACCTGTGAATATTTGATGCTTTGTTTATTCTCATTCTAAATGTTTAGTGGAAATTCTATATTAAACAACTTTAGCATAAACCAGACTACCAAATTTGAAACAACTACTATTCAGTTAAATACTACTAATTGTTTTCAGTAGAAATATTTCATTATTGTTAGTTTCAATCAAAACAGTTAAGAACATGCATTGTGAGTTTTTATATGTATAGTAATATGCCCTGTCTAGTTAATTTGACTTAAATATAATTTATAACCAGATTCTTCTGTTGTACAGTATTCATAAATAGTAGGTAGAAATATCTTCATCTTGTATCCCCTGTTAAATGGTTTTTGGAGATATGCTATATCCAACCAGAGCTGAGTCTTAAAACTAATATCCTTGCTATATCTTTTGTTAGAAAAAATATCCTGTCCTTTAAAGCTGTTCAAGTTAGAAGCTATTGCCCCTTAGTCCCAGAGTTTTGAGAAAATAGGGGAAACCTCAGTAAGTGTAAGACTCCCAGCAATACATACCGTTTTTACCACCACAAGGATTAAAAATGAAATGCTAAGATCCGTAGATGTATGTGCTTTCCAGATACTTCACTTTCTATCCTGTAATGAACTGAGGTATATACAGTTGCCTTGTATGTGGATTATTGGTTTACATCATCAGATTTATTTTCTTTACTGTTCCATTTCATTTTGCCTCATTGTTTCTTGCATGACTTACTTCCTATTACGCATATATTTGTGCAAATTACATTGTTCATTACAATATATTAAAAATGGCTTTTGTTTATACCAGCATCCTTGTTTTATCACATGTTAGTTATTCTACTTTGTGAATTTCATTTGTTTTGTTTCTTTTGCCTTATCATACTACATTAGGATTGTTCTCCCGACTGTTTTCACAACAAGCTGATTTGCTTTCAAAAGTCAAATAATATCAGAGTATTAGTTAATGAACAAAACAAGCCTTTTAAACAGAACAGAATTATTTTTATTTTTAAATAAATGAGTGCATTGTTTTATTATATTGAAATAATTACCTTTGTATATTTTTAAAAATAAATGGAAGTTGTTTGTTTTCTTTTTATTACTGGAACATGAGTGAACAATTTACAATTAAGATACACAGTTTATGAAGTATGAAGCAATAGTTGCTTCCCAGGCAATTTTTCAAAGATCAGGAATGTATGGATGCATAAATCATTATTGGCACTTTCTTCTGCCTTATGTCTAAAATTATTTGGTGAATCTAGCTTTTCTTCATGTATCTCTGACAACTGTGAGAGCAAATCCAGCACCAAAGGGCTAAACAATGTGACACATAAAATACATATTGAACATTTTGCCTTTAGAGTTTTTATTTTTTACTGTAAAAAGTGAGCATGTTAATTTTGATCTGAAAAAGACCTTCCTTTGTCAGGAGAAACAAACTTAATTTCTTCTGTCCTAACCTGTTCGATTGCTCATATTTATCTTCTTTGCAGGAATATATTTAAAGAAATAATTTCATACACATTTGATCAGAAAATAATATCTTACATATTAAAACATGTTTAATTTGATTGCTGAATTAACTAATTTTTCCAGGATTGCAAAATGCAGCAGTTGCAAAAAAATAATAATCAATGCATAAAGTGGCTTTGGATGACACAACATATTAAGCTACAGAAAATGAATAAAATTTAACTTTAATGAAGGTACATTCATGCAGTCCTTTGGAGACTGCTCCTTCAAATTCCATGAACCTTGAAGAAAGGTGCTTCCAAACTTCATGAGCTGGCTCTGTTCTTGTAGTCCTTAGGATTCAAATTGCACGAGTAATTTATTTAATATATAAATTGATTTCTTTCCATGCTTTTTCTTATTTGTTAGATATATATCAATGGTGGGTTCCTCGCGGTTCGGTCCGGTTCGGCTGAGCCGGTAGCGGTGACGATACGACGTCACCGAACTGGTTCGCCCCCCCTGCCCCCCCACGTTATTCTTACCTTTTATTTGGTCCCACCCCCAATCTATTGCTGCCTCCTGAGTCCCAGCTGATGACTAGAGGGAAAAAAACTGTTTAAACTCTTGCCATGGGGCTTCAAAGGGCCGTCCTACAGCTGATCAGTGTTAAAAGCAAACAAATGAGTCGGGTCGTAAGTGTGAGGACTGGTCGTAAGTGCGAGGACCTTCCAGAAATGATTCTGACCAGCTAGCCATGCCCACCTAGTCACATGACCTCCAAGTCACACCCACAAAATAAGCCATGCCCACAGAACCGGTAGTAAAAAAATTTAGAAACCACTCCTGATATATATTTCTAGTTATGAAGTTGCTTAATACAGGATTATTGGCCTTCTGTGCCAATATTGCTCTTTTGACTAGCAAAGGCTTTTGTTTTTTCCCCTCAAAACCTGCTGTCATTTTCTGTTTCAAGCATATCTAAATAAATCCTTAGCTAGAAAAATTGTTACCTTATAATTCTAAAATCCTAATGAACAGTTAATTTTTTGCTGATTTCCTATTTAAATGTGGTTTTGCTGTCTTATCTATTCTGTCATGTCATCCATTATGTTTTGAAGAATGTCATTTAATGCAGGAAGAAAATGGCATAAAATATTGTTTAACATGAAGTGATATGTGGTTCCTTTGTATTTAGTAAATGTTAAGATTTTTCCTCTGAATTATAAATGTAGCCATCTGATAGAAAATAGGTTTAAAGGAAGCTTGATAAATTGTGCCGGTTTCCAAAGGTGTCAAGGGACTTTTGTCAGCTCTGACTCAAAAGGCTAATATGCATCTCAATCGCAGTTCCACCCTCTGATGTATAACCAGTAGCATTCTTATACTGTCCTCTACACATGATGCATACCCATTAAGGTAATGTTAATAGGAATCCTGCTAGCTTAAAGTTCTTATCTCTGTAGAGGGTACTCTTGTTTATTTGTGGTTATACTAATTTCATTTTTGTTAGGTTATTTGGCATTGGGCTAGATATCATATTCTTCCAACCCATTTCACTAGTTTGATGCCATAGATATTTTTTGGGTTGGAACCAGCTGGTTGCACATAGTTCTCCTTAAAATCTGTATGATTTAGACTTAAGATGATGTCATCAGGTTATTATTAGTTTAATGGATTTTAGAATAATAGCACTCTAATAGATACTTCCTTTATTTTTTTCAGCTAATAGCTTAATAACAATTGGATTAGCAGGTAAGAAGCTTGGTATTTTCTATCTGTATTCTTTTTCATTGTTTCTCTTTAAAAAAAGGCAGCCCTTCAAAGATTGATTTCTGATAACCTTTATTCAAAGTATATATCTTACACACAACTAGAATGAAATATAGAAAACATGTTGCTTCTGGAAACTAAATTTCAATATTTAAAAGGACTGCCTCATATATAACTATTTGGAGAAAGCAAGACTCTGAGAAAAATCAACACAATTATACAAGTTGGAGTCACTGTTTCATTTTTCTTCGAATATTTAGCTTAAGAAATTGGTACTGTATTTCCATAAGGAAAATATATTCAGCAGCAATATTTTAAATGAATAGTGGTCCATTTTCTTCATGCAGATCTTATATTTCCTTGACTGAAGTGTAAATAAATAAATAAATAAAAGTCTGAAGTGATAGAAGTAGCCTTGTCGAAGATCTATCTCAGACTGGCCAAGAAGATGCTTTTGTTATAGGCACGCAGCAAGTATTTCTCAGCAAATCCCATCTCAGGTCCTGGTATCTGCTGTTCCTATGAGAAAATAGAAAGCTGCTGTACTTTAGCAAAAAGGAGAAGAAAAAAAGCAGCACTGGATGCTACCATGTTTTCTCAAAAATAAGACCTAACCAGAAAATAAAAAGTCAGTAAGTGTGCAATTAAACTTAGTTTCTTTATATTTATACATATACTTGTCTAAGTTCAAAGTTATCTTACTACAATAAGAATAGAATACAATAGAATACAATAGAATATGATAGAATTTTATTGGCCAAGTGTGATTGGACACACAAAGAATTTGTCTTGGTGCAAATGCTCTCAGGGTACATAAAAGAAATGTTCGTCAAGAATCATACGGTACAACACTTAATGATAGTCATAGGGTACAAATAAGGAATTTGTATGGCCATAGTCATGTTTCTTTGGGCCATAGTCATGTTTCTTTGCTGACTTGATCAGAACTTTTATGTTTTCTAGGTGCACAACAGCAGATCATCTGCAATGAATCCTTTATGCTACAGAACTTGCCAGTGTGTGGAAAATCCTTCGAAGAGATGATGCACAAAGTGGATTCTACAAAATGGTGCAATCTGACAGAATTTATACTGTAAGCTTCTGACTAAATTTATACAGTAAGCTTTATAAATGATTATTATACAGCATTAATTGCACAAAGCATAAGCTATTAAAATGTGTGGAACTTCTTGTTACAGTAGCAATAGCAATAGCTCTTAGATTTATATAAGTGCAGATTACAGAGTCAGCATATTTCCACCAACAATCTTGGTCCTCATTTTACTGACCTCGGAAGGATGGAAGACTGAGTCAACCTTGAGCCGGTCAGGATCAAACTCCAGGCTATGGGCAGAATTAGCCTGCAATATTGCATTCTAATTACTGTACTACCACAGCTCTATAGAATAGAATAGAATTCTTTATTGGCCAAGTGTGATTGGACACACAAGGAATAAATAAAATATATTTGTCAAGAATCATAAGATACATCACTTAGTGATAGTCATAGGATACTAATAAGCAATCAAATCATACTAGGAAACAATAAAAAAAAAGAAGTTGTAAAATATCCAAGCAACTTGGGTATAGCAATAAGTGCATGTCTGCTCAGAGATAAGCCCCTTTTATTGTAGCTGTAGGAACTATTGTAGGAACTATAGCATTAGCTCTGGCATATCTGCTAAACAGTATTCTATTCAGCTGTTCCCCTTTTTCTGATTTATGAACTTACAGCAAAACCTCTCCATTATGTACAACCATTCTATATTATATTTTGGGTTTTGGTTAAACTTAACAAGAAGTGGTATCTGCCAATACTTTAAGGAACAATAGCAAATACCAGAATTTTCAGAATAAAGAATAGCCTGAATAAATAGTTGGAAACTATCTTACCATTGCATATGGATCTGATTTATCCAAGTTTATCCTGACTTCAGCTACAATCAGAGGGACTTACCTCTGAATAGACATATGGTAGATCAGAGTTCCCCAATCTTTCTGGCTCTGCAGACTGGCAGGGGGACAGGGGGGAGGCAGATAGTTCCATGCAAATGGTGGGCAAGTGTGCCTGTGTGCGCAGCTACATTTGTGTGAGCGACAGACACGCTCATCCACTGCTTACACAAGTGGAGTGTGTGTGCATGCACTTGTCCACTGCTAGTGCAAGTGAGGATACGCACATGCATGCTCATCCACTGCTTCCGCGGCCCAGTTCCAAATAGCTCATGGCCTAGTAGTGGAATGCAGCCCGGGTGTTGGGGACTCCTGCAGTTGATAGAGGCATGTCCAAGACTGATTTTTTCCCCCTTGTATGCTTGTGTACAGAGGATTAGAACTTGGACATAGTTTTTTTGTGCTATTTATAAGGAACAAATCCAAAACCTTTAATGACAATAGTGATCAAGAAGAACTTCATTAGGCTTCTAGAGATCTTCAATGGATTAATTGTAAGTAGGAAGCAAAAAGATTCCAACTGACCAACTTTTGGTACTGATAAGAATTGGAAAAATGAGATTGAACACCAAGCACAATAAAAGGGACAGTAAAGCAAAATATGTGCTACAGCCTCAACAGCAGTCTACTAAAAGAATATTATTAAATCAATGTCAAGGTGGGGAACTAAATCTTACACTATGTATGGCAGAATATCATTTATAAAGGTTCTTGAAATAGTAGTGGGAAATTTATTATCCTGTATATCCAAATCAAGGACTCTTGTTTAATTTTTTGAAGCATTCTATGAAAGTTGAGTAGTATTTGAAAACAGATTAAGGCAGAGGTGGGCAACTATGGCCCTTTTATGACTTGTGGACTTCAATTCCCAGAATTCCTGAGCTAACGTGGCTGGCTCAGGAATTCTTGGAGTTGAAGTCCACAAGTCATAAAAGGGCCATAGTTGCCCACCCCTGGATTAAGGTCATAGAAAAAAGATGTTTTTCCAAGAGGAAATGATTTATATGTTAAAGAGAGTTGAGCCAGGGACTTTCCTCCAGGTTTTCTCTCAACAAAAATTTATATAGCCAATTATAAACTGAGTACAAAGGGGTACTAGCCAAAATAGCAACCAAGAAAATGCATTCAGGATAGAGCCGTGATGACAAACCTATGGCACACATGGCCAAAGTGGCATGCAAAGCCATGTCTCCCGGCACGCAGCCTTCCCTGTTTGCCTTCTGGATTTCTGGCATGCATGCATGTGTGACGATCAGCTGTCCTTTGCACACATGGCAGTGCCAAAAACTGGTGAGTGCATGTGCACTAGCCAGCTGATTGTTGGGTGTGCATGCATGCTACAACCCGGAAGTTTGGTTTTTCTGGAGCGCGGCCCCGATGAACGTGGGCTTGCATGTGAGACATTTCTGCGCAGCCTCACTGGTCTAGATGAAATGCTGCTGAATAAATCTTTTCACGTTTTCAGCAAACATAACTGGCTTTTAATAAGGTGCCTTATGAACCAATAGAGATGGTTCATAGAAATCTAGGGTACACTGGGAATCTGCACAACACTGTTATAGTATGTGTCATGTTGACATCATAGAGTAATACAGACACCTGTGACAGGATTGCATTTAAGGATAAAATAGAAATTAATATTTAATTTTGGAGATAGAGCACATTTTTTCAAATGTAACAAAACCATATCAGAGCAAATACTTGAAGAAAATGGTAATACAAAGAATTCAATATTTAAATTTCATGGAGTCAATCTATCAGTATGGTTGCTAGAATTAATAATTTGATGGCACATAATAATCAACTATTTTTAAGCATCTTCCTGAGTCCAAATAGTCACATATATTAAGTCAATGATGCCTAACCTTTTCCGGACCGAGTGCCCAAAGTGCTGAGTGCCCGAACTTCCAAAATGGAATCTGTGTGCAGCCCCTGCATACCCTCATGTATGTGTGCGAGGCATCCCTGTATGCATCTTGCCCCCCCGCGTGCATGGCAGAGACCTGAAGACCAGCGGCGGAAGGTGCGAGTGCATGTGTGGCGGAGCTAAACTGGGGTGATGGCTCGCGTGCCCATAGAGAGGATGCTGCATGCCACCTCTGGTACGCGTGCCATAGGTTTGCCATCATGGATCTAGACATTTCTCCTCCAGCTCTTTCTGTTCACTAATCTTTAATAATTTTAGACGATAGCTTTTTTAGGTCTGCTCTGCTATAATAGAACTGAGTCTTATGAGGCTTACAGTGGGTAATAGTGCACAAAAGCAGATCTTCCGGTTGATGTCGTAGCGAGATCGGACATGGTCTCTGTGTATCTATGCCGAATTCTCCGTGTTGGAGGGGCAGTGAATCAAAGAGGGACACCCTGTGGGTCTCGGAGAATCGTAGCTCTCCTGCCTGACCTGGGGCTTATTTTTCCTCTCAGCCACAATGAGGAGAAGAGGCAGCCTAAATTGGCTGCCACGAAGCTGGGACAGCTGATGACCATCTAAGCTTTAAGCTGGAGTGGATTTTGGTGAATAGTGTGGAACTGGGTGAGAAGATTTTTTTTTAACCTGAAAGTTAACCCCGAAAAAGAAATTTAGGATTTACTCAGAATTATCTGTTAAAGTGGTGATCAAACACTTTGAGAAAACTACCAGACTGGAAGGAAAGTATTAAAGAGAGAGAGAAAAAATCTTCAAAAACGTAGGAAATTGGACTGTTAAATTGGGAAGATGTGATATTGGGAAGGCAATTTAAAATGCTGGAATTACGGATTTAAAAAATTAACACTGCTTCTATAATTGAATTACAATTTAAAATAATTAAAACCAGATTTTTTTAGTAATAATATTGAAAATTAACCTGACCACAACAGCCAGCAGTGTGCAGCAACAGCCAAAAAAGCTAATAGAATCCTTGATTATAACAGAGGCATAGAATCAAAATCACATGAAATATTAGGACCATTTTATAAAGTCTTAGACCATACCTAGAATACTGTATTTAGTTTTGGTCACCACATTACAAAAAAGATGTTGACATTTTGGAAAAAGAGCAAAGAAGAGCAACTAAGATGATTAAAGGCCTGAAGACCAAAACATACGAAGAATAGTTGCAGGATTTGGGTTTGGCTAGGGGTGACATGATAGCAATATTCCAGTATTTGAAAGGTTGCCACAAAGAGGAGGGAGGTCAACTTATTTTCCAAAGCACCAGAGGGTAGGACAAGAAACAATAGATAGAAACTAATTAAGGAGAGAAGAAAACCTGGAGTTAAGGAAAAACTTCCTAACAGTGAGAATAATTAACCATAGCAACAGCTTGCCTTCAGAACTTGTGATGCTTCATCACTGGAGGTTTTTAAGAAGAGACTGGATAGTTACTTGTCTGAAATGATATAGGGTGTCCTGCTGCAGCAGGGGGTTGGACTAAAAAACCTTGAAGGTCCCTTCCAGCTCTATTGTAATTGGTTGATTGACTGAAAATTCAAATTTGATAATTTTATCTGATAAATCATGTTTATTTAGTCACAGATATCACTTGTTGCAGCTGAATTTAGTGTACTGTTTGCAACCAAACTAGAGGCCACAGCTGGGTAATTGCTTAAACTATTGTCCCACTGCTGAGCCTTATTTTACCACATAAACAAAGCCTTCCTTTTATCCTTAGAATCATTTGTTTGTATCCCATTTTTATTATTTTTAAAAATAACTCAAGTCAGCAAACAAATCCAACACACCTTCCTCCTATTTTCCCCACAAGTTGGACTGGGAGTAACTGGCCTAAGGTGACCAGCTGGCTTTTATGGCTAAGGCAGAACTAGAACTCACAATCTCCAGCTTTTTAGCCTGGTGTCTTAATTGGCTCTTTAATTTAATTTGGAAAAGGTTAAGAAAAGTGATTAGTGGATTTCCCCAGTTTTGTTATCCTCCTACTGGTGGAAAAACAATCACCAATTTTGCTCATATGTGCTACGTTTGGGGCAGGTGTCTGGAAAACTGCGTGTCTTGGAAGACTGCTGCAAGTTATCCAACTACAAGGATGCCCAGAGTCCTTCCTTGCAGTGCCTAGCGTCTCTCCTTGAGGGAAATGGGTATATAGAAACCCAAAATATAAACAAACAAGCAAACAAATAAATAATGTAGGCATATAAGTG